ATATTATGCTGAGCCCCATCTACAGTTGCACTTCTTGTTCAGTTTTTCTTTACCTGGCGAATATGGGTCCTAGCTTCGTCCTCTCGCCGTATAGTTCCTGTCATCGGTGTTATACTCCTTGTGAGTTCTCTCCAACAATAATTTCATAGTCTGCTATAACCTAGTGTACAGCTTAGTGTGGCATCCTTCGCGATGGCGATTGCATTTGGGTTTTCGGTATGTCATTCATCCTCTTTTCTGTTGGAAACTGAGGCATTATTTTCCGGCGATTTTTTAAGCTAGATCATTTCGGAGTTCTTAACGCCTCAGGCACCATTCTCCGGGATACATCAGCCATCGTTCGTGCTCCAACTACCCACATATAATAGTCTGTCTTCATGATATGATTCCAGGGGGGGTTTTCGATCAGTTTCATTTGTGATATGTTAATAACTATAACTTTAGCGGTCCAGGTAGACAATACCCTTAATATGTGGACGTAGAACGTTGACCCCAAATCCAGTTAAGGTCAAAAGTGAAGCAGGACTTCGTTCTTGTCAATCACGTATTACACCGTGCTTCCCGCCTGGCTTTGGAAACAGGTGGCTTGATATGTCTTGTTTCCCTTGTCCAGCTGGTCCTCTTCGTTCTTACCTCGAATTACTTCTTCTTCCCGTCGGCAAACCATTATTCCTTTTTATCACTGTGATTACTTATTCTATGATGAAACAGGCTCATGATAAGCGGCAAGATATACTCAAACTCTCTCATGGCATCGTTGAACTCGCGGGCACCCATATTCAGAAAGAAACAACCTTCGGATACTCAGGTGTGGCAGGCGTCAGATAGGGCTGGTATCAACTTTGTCACCGATACAAATACCTGATGCCACAATTCAATTGAATTCCAGTAGTGCGTACACGTTCTGCGTTCTTTATTATTCTAATTCTTTTGTAGGACCGTCAGCTAGGGAAACGTAGGACCAATACTTTGACGAAGTATTCCCTTCGCATGATCATTTCTGGACCATTCCCAGTTTCTTATCTGTCCATCTTGTCCATCGTTTTTTCAGCTGTCCATTTTATTCGATGTTGTTTGGTAACTTATTACTGGGTAGTTGGTAGAATTTGCTCTTCTGTTTCATTTTGAATTGATAACAATGTGATTCCGTAGCGCTCTACGAGAAATTACCTTTTGCCTGCTTTGTTCGTAGTCAGAAATGAATCTCCAGAGAGTAGTCGATCACATGACCGACAACAAACGATCAGAAATGATATACTGCGCCGCTCGCTGTTTGCAACGACGAGGGCTGTATGGACAAATTTGCGACTCTCGAGCCCGTCCGCCTGTATGCCTCCTCTGGTGCTCGACTTTTGCGCAGTGGAACGGCCGCCTCCAAGAACAACCCACCGGCACCAGTCCTGATCGGACGATTACCAGCAGACTTACACCAGCTCATTCTTTCTTTTCTTCCCATCCCTGATGTTCCCGCATACGTACGCTCTTCAAGAGCACTTAACTCTATAGCCAAGGATGATAAATTTTGGGATGCTAGATGGTCAGCGTTGGGTATAGAAAAGCACGGCCTTGAAGTTGTACTCGACACCCTTGAGAACGCACAGAAGGGCCAGCTCGGAGCGACGCGTTCCATGCAGCCACCCACGATTTCTGTGTCCAACGACGACGACTTTGGTGACTTTGCAACAGCTGAACCTGTCGCTGGATTTGGGGTCCAACCTCCGCTTTCACTGTCATTTCCAATAGCACCGACAAAACGGACGACATACGCCCGTGCACACAATCTATTGAAGCCCCTTGCGTTGGCATTACACTCAACAGCTCCACATCTAATACTATCAACCCTTTCCACCTTCTTTGTATCTCCACAGAGCCTCCTCACGTCGCCGGCTCCACAAAACCAGACCGACGGCCTTCCATTACGAACCCGCGCAAAAGCCCTGCACCTCCTTGCTCTCTTTCTCTCTCCAGCCGTTCAGCCGCTACGATCATGGTCTACCCTTCGGCAGGCTCTACAGACTGCAATGGATCGGTTCGACGCGGGGCTTCTTGCGGCATTTGACAGTGCAGATGGACGTGGGGACGAGGAGGGTATGCGTGAGGCTGCTGAGTCTAGTTGGGAGGTGTGGACTGGGAATGCAGCTGAATGGGAAATGGGCAAGATGTGGGCTGAGAAACGGGAGATCTTTTATGTACAGGGCCAGTGGGACCCACTAGCTAATTTCACGTAAGCTGCAAGACTCTGTGCGTGTATCCAAACTCATAAATTCAATAGGGCTGATGGCGCGTTGGACTTTGACGCGATGGACGAGTTCATGGGAGGTGTTCTGAAGGCTATTGAGGAACATGGTTTACGGGCCGTTCGTGTGTTTCCGCCAGCGGCTCAGGTACTAGTATCTTTTTCAGAACGCGTTGCTAATGATGTGGTGCGTCTTTCGCCTGCCTATCTCTATTTTTCTGCTAATTCTTCAAAGGTCGGAGAATATATAACGGCACTTCTCACACAAGCACGCGCCGCCACAAACTCCTTCGTCTTCCTCCAAGCAACCGCTGCCTCGTTCAAGGAAGCTTGGCGTATGGTAGATGTCCTGTTACGCGTAGCGCAGGCGCGAGCTCAAGACAAGGACATCGTCAAACCGGAAGACATAATTACAACTACAAAGGCCGAGGACGTGGTGTAAGTCGTATTCCCCATCTAGCTTCCCTCTCTCACCGAAGCAGGTATCAGATGTTCGAGAGCAATATGGACGAGTACCTAGACGAGGAAGTGGAGTCCGTCAAGAACGTCTTCAACACCATCTGCAAAGCATGGGACCGTGAGGTCAGCACCCCCTTCTCCCGAATCCCCCACTCGTGCGTGACTCACCGCCTCACCTAACAGCTCGCGACATACGCCCCGACTCCATCAACAAACGGCTCCGGTCTCACATCCATCGAAACACAACAATACCACAACGAACACACCTCACAGCCCCGGTTCCTGACCTCCCAAAACCCCGCGCAAGTCAAGCGGAACGTCCTCGCGTCGTTCACGTCCGTGCTTCTCCTCCCCGTGACCATCGTCCCGCGTACGGTCGGCGCAGTCGGTGGAGCGATCGTGAGCGGCGGTACGGCGGCCGTGCAGGGTATTGCGATGCTCAATCCTACGAGGTGGGGAGGGAGTGCAGGCGCGGGGAAGTATGGTGGTGGGGTGAGTAAGACGGGGTGGGGTGCGAATGGGAGTGTGTATAGGACGGCGGAAGCGGAGGGGAGCACGGTGTTTGAGGTTGGGGATGCTGATGTTGATGCGGACGAGGATGATGGGAAGACGGAGGTGGGTGATGAGAGGAAGGAGGCCGACGCGTGGGGTAAGAGCGCGAGTGGGACGAGTATGTCGATCTCTCATCTAAATTGTTGGCTTACAAGTGCTGATTACCTGCCTGTCTATTCCGCCGCTGCAGGTTCGCGTGCCTCTCCATCTCCGACTGTGTCGTCCTCCACGTCACGGACGCTGGTCTCCTCGTCGTCGGCACCGGAGAACAAGCTTGAGCTTCTTCTCTCGCTCGACGTGGCGCTGGAAATGATACACGCAGACCGTGAGCCGCTCAAGCGTGTCGAGACGTTTGCTGGGTATCCAGGACACTACGGACACCGCGTTCGGGACACCATCGAGGAGCTGTTCATCCTCATGCTCGGGGCGCTTGGGGACGAGCATCTCCGGAAAGGTTTCGCAAAGTACGCTTACCTCTTTCGATAGTGTGTGTTGCTGATGGGACGAGCTTTAGAGCGACGGAGCAGATGCGGGAGTATAAGCCCGCAGAGCATGAGGCGACGACGAGCGTCGCGCCGCTGCTGCAGTTCTTCGAGCTTGTGCATATAGGTGATACAATTCAGTCGATGGTGCAGGTGTACTTTGACAAGGAGCTCGTAAGTCCTCGAAATTCTTAATCTGCGTACTCGATGCTCAACGAAAGGTCTTAGGCACATCATATCGATCGCACAGACTTCCTCAACGCTGTCGTGCGGGAGAAGAAGCGGTTCGAGAACGCGCTGGACGATTCCGTTGCGGGTGGGCTGAATGCTGGCACAGAGGTTCTCATGAATCAAGTACGTGCACGTTTACGAACCCTCCCGCGTTAATTGGCTCAACACCTCGCGAAGGTAGAGCACATTCTCGTGACACTCACAAGCCCGCGCGAGTATTATCCCGAAGATGGCCCGTTGGATCTAGGACCCACGCGCGGGTGCTCTGAAGCGATCAAGTGTCTGGAGATGCACTGCAAGCTGCTGAAGGGGAGTACGAGCAAGGAGGTGCTCGAGGTGTTCTACCAGGAGGTTGGGATTCGGCTCATAGCGTAAGCCTATTGTTTCCTGTGCCTTCTAGAGTAGACAGGGACTAATGCCCTGTTGGATTGGTTCAGCGTTCTGCAGAAACATATTAAGCGCCAGATTATCTCACTCAATGGCGGGTTCCGTGTCATTGCGGATCTGAATACCTACTATACCTTCGTTTCGTCTCTCAAAGTTCGTAGATCAGAATTCCAACTTTTCCTTCTCCTGATTGAATCTTGTCAGATTCCGTCGATCATCTCGGACTTCTCGCACTTGAAGATGCTCGGCCATGTCTACGTCGTCGAGGACGCTAAGGACCTCGCGCAGATCGTTCGTGACGTTACGCGATACGGTGGAGCCTACAGACCTGAAGTACGCTTTTTCCTGCTTTTCGATATTCGATGGTAATGCTGATGATTGTCAGGACGTTTACGAGTTCATCCAAAGGCGGTCGGATTGGAAGAAGATCGAGAAGACAGTAGATAAGACAATGTATAATTTGAGTTTCAAGGAGGACTGCGTTGTCTGCTGATCTGGATTTGGACGTGGTCCTCTTCGGTGTGAGATCTGCTTGTTTGGATTCGGAGGGTAGAATGATTGTTACTCAACCCTACGCATGCTCGAGAAGCTATACTAGCTCGACGAATGGTATGCCCCTCCTCTCTACTTCAAAAATGTCTACGCCTTGTGTTGGCGCTGTAGTGTAGAGGTTATCACTCGAGATTCTGACCTTAAGATTTCTCGAAACCCAGGTTCGATTCCTGGCAGTGCCTGTTATCCGTGGCGATGCCTTTTTCCTAGGCAAGGCATTCTTGGCATGAATTTCTATATGAACCACTGCGGCAAACCCCGTATCTCTTGTCACCATGGGACACCCTTCTCCATCTTCCAATTAGTTTTTTCTCGCTGCTGCATTTTGATACCTCTCACAGCTCAGATTTTATCAGCCGATTCAATGTTTGTGAAATGTCTTGTTAATTATGGTGAGAACAATTGTTTATGTAAATCATGAAAGAATATCAGGGCTCGTTCTAAAGTATTTTGGTTAGTTCTTGGCCAATGCTCGCTCGTTGAATACATTGTCTGGTAATCTCTCCCAGCATCTAAATTCGTTTGCATGCAACAAACCGAGGGTTTTCCGTGCTCTCCTAATGTTATCAGCCTCGTTATGAAAAGGTATGGCCTTGAATAACCAGTCAACTTCTTTCGTCAAAGGCCAGAGAGACGAGGAGAGACGAGTGTCTGATGAATTATCAAGCTCCTCTATCTGTTGAAACCCTTCTGTTGGCCTATCAATCCCAAAGTAAGGTTGTCCTCGTTCATCGCATGATGATAGCTGTAGAGTTGTCTTCACAAATGGACTGGAATCAGGAGATCCCTCGGCACCTTCGATGCACAAATTCCGAATGTTCGGACGAACAGTGCCGGAGATTGTTTCAGCCCAGGTGACAGGAAGACAGCTCGTGGAACTCGAGTCGGGATCAGCTGACAACTGCATCAAGTCAGTGCACATCGAAGTTGACTCGTTTGATGATGGGTTGTCTCGTGGCAGAGTACGGTGACATGAAGTTTGGCTGGAATAAAGTTTTGTGCTAAGTGGCACATCATCTTGCGTTAACGAGTAGCGGATTCCCATTCGATTCGGACGACCTGACGATGGTAATTCTTCCTTGGTCTTCAACATGACCGATCGAGGCTGCAATGGATGTGGTTTGTGGTCATTGATTTGTTCTGTGATCGAATGATCAATAATTGACTCCATGTTCAATGGACGAGGGTAGGCACTAAAGCGCGTCTCAGTCACCGACATGTCCCCCGCAATCTCCGCTGGAACATCGAGAAAGTTATGTCGCTCGATCAGTTCCTGAGCCGAAGTCATGGTTCTTCGTGCTCGTTTTGCCGGATAACACTCGACGTTGCTTGCAAGAGGACGACAAGAAATGACCCCTGAATTCGAGCGGCTTATGCTCGCCGGCATCTTTGAGGAGAAGGCATTGTCGATAATGAATCTATCATCCCCACTCTGTTGTATAGAAACACTTTTGGACTCCCCAGTTAATCTCGTTCCGGAGAGCACTTGATGGCACTCACCGATATCTACGCTCTACGTCCAGTTCAATAGCTGTCTCGTATCCCGGGGCTGGATCTTTATTGACCAGCTGAGATCTTTTGTGTATCTTCAGTGATGGTGACACTGGCATGATCAGTGTTAATATGAGGACAGTGGCGAAGTTGGGGAGAAGGGGTTGTGGTGCCATTTAATTGAAACCGTGCCGAGCTTTATATCTTCCACTGTCCTGAATTGGAAGACAAAGGCTGTGATCAATAACCGCAGGTGTTAGTCGCCATCATCAATAAGCATGCTTTGTACTTATGTTATACCTTTGATTGCCCTTTGTCACACAAATGATTGACAGAAACGGACATTGACAAAGGACAAAACGCTTTGTGTCATTGAAAGATATCGAACATCGATTGCATTATCAGAGGCCTGCGAGACCGCTTGTAATACTGCAGGGGCGCCTGGAATGCTAGTACTCTACCGTATAGATCATCCTATTACTTCTAGGTATTTCCGTCATCTCCATCATCACATGTCAATCTTCCCCCTCATCCGTTTCACTTATGTATAGCCTGGTAACATGACAGAGGGAACGTTAGGTTGTGAGGGTCGCGGCTATCTCGGAGAGTGCAGCAGCTGGTGACAACTGGATGAGACTAGAATTCAGTGACCCAAACAATTCTCCTAACCGTGCGGAGAATACTTTCGTCCTCTGAAGAGCTTGTTGAGTCCCCTGATAGATGAGTCAACGGACCCCTACAATGCATTTCACTCAACACAAGTTTCTTTTCAAATGCGACACGTGGAGGAATAAGAAGGGGTTCGAATGTTCGCTCAATTGAAACCTTTGCCAAAGGTAGTAGGCCTGGAGTTGAACTGTTCGGGGATCTTATAATAGGCTTATATGCAGCAACCGTGACTGGATAAGTCTTTATCATGTCTAGCACAGATTTGAAGAGAGTCAAAGGTGAATGATCGACTGTCAGCTTCAACTTTGATATCTGTCTGTAAGCTTTTATTAGGTTCATTTCCAATATTACAAGGGCGAGCATGCTATAAGTTGAGATCACTTGAGGACGCCATAAGATATGACAATACTGAAACAGCGTCATTTCTCTTTGATGACAATGATGACATCCAATGTCGTAGCATGTCCGCCACCAGCTGGGTGTCTAAGACTACTGATTAAAGTAGTTGACGTATGTCCGTTAGATATCCCGTTTTTTCTTTACATTCCTTACGACAAACCTCAGAACATCGATAACGGCTGCTCAATTGTAACATTGCGTCTCTTCGAGCTTTACATAGAGGAAGTCATGCTCTTGAACGCATCACATCGCTCATATCATGCACAGCAATCATAGCTGCGGGTCATCGCAAATATCGGGGGTCGCTACGAGGGACAAGTGAAACGACGGTAAGGAAATCATGATGCGACATGCAAAAATGAATGGTCCCAAGAAGTCTCGGTTTGGGACTTGGCTTCTGAAGTTCTAAAGAAACGAGTAAGTGTCCCGGAGAAACTGAGCATTGGGCCCACATGATTGGAAGCTATGATCAAGATGAGAAGGCATTGATTGACGGAATCGAGTTCTTGGCACAAACAATCCTGTGCTCGTTGATGTTGATCTGGAAAGTGGTCGGAGATCTGAGGTCTGAAGCTGAAGCCCACCGTAGTAAGAGGCCTTAGAAGTGAAGCATTGACTTTACTTCCTGCACGAACATCTCTAAGAACCAGATATTCCAATTTTTTTCGGAAAATTTAGAACGTTAAGATTTACGAAAGCATGAGCCATCTGACACAATGTCGACGTTCACGGCATAAAGATCAATCACGCGGTAGCATATGAGAACGTCTAGCCACGAGCGCGAGAGCATGAAAACCATTCTTAGACCTTGTGAGGCAGGACAATATCCCGAAAGTGGCTTGGACGTAGATGAAACTACGGAATTTAACCGTGTTCAGATTCCAGAGAGGTATAAGTCTGAGAAGATACAACGTTCTTGTTCGACAGACTCCCACTTCTGCTACAATGTTGAGCAAAACCTTGGTTTGTGTTCTTGCATTGGTTGCCGCCACCAACGCCGCGGTATGTCAATACCTGGTCTATATCAGAGTGATCCAATCGTTGATTGCCTGTAGCCTGTCCCGGACGATCCGAACGTTTTCACTGCTGTGGAAATTTATCATACTATCATTGATGTCCCACCATACCTAGTGGATAGGACGACCACGATAGTTTGGACGTAAGCAAACATGCTGTCATCATTTCGAGCTCGATATTGACCGCATAAAAAGCCAAGGCCCTAGTGTCACCATTGCCGCAGACGCACCGACTAAGACGAGAAACTGACAAGTGACCGAATTTTGTAAATCCAAGCTTTTGGATGCTTGAATACAGAGGCTTATATGCTTTGAAATAGCCAGGAGCAATTCTCTGTATCATAAATCGTTTCCCCGTTAAAGTCATTCGTGTTGGTTATCCTGTTCGATACCAGAGCGATGTCTCCAGCATTTTTGCGTTCAAGTTTGCATAGTTAGTTCATAGTTGCCCATGATATTGAAGTCGGTGAAGGCTATGGTCAACAAATCGAAAAATTGACTATGAGCAATCTGTACAGGGGAAGAGAAAGATAATGACTCACCGGTCCTCAATCGAAGTCGTACTGAGTCGTCACTGGTGACTGACTGAAGCGGTCGAAACGTACAGTACTAACACTTCTTTGACGTTTATCACTAAAGTGGAGAGCATGTCAGGCAATAGATATGTACCAGGCAAAATTTTGCAAAGCACGCAGTGAGTCTCAGTGCAGTTTGTGTTCAGTCAATGTCCGAACCTTGTCCGAACTGGTTCAAGAGATATTCTCGTTTTAAAATAATGTCAAATAATGCATTCGATCCGAAAAAGCCGGGGTGTTTCCCGGGCCCGACCTTGCTTGCACAGATAGTGCTTGATTACATAGTCTAGTTGAACCACAGGTCGGTTGTCTAGAGCATGCTACTCGCTGATATTCCTTTTGACGTTCTCACTTCCGTGCTTTTCTGGGTTTCTCACCAACAGTCACTCCTCAACTGCCTTTTTGTCAGCCAAAAATTCAAAGATGCCGCGATTACAAAGCTATATGAATCGATAACTCTGCGTTCACCCCAGTCCTACAATGGTGTATGTTTTTATACATGCGTTCGAATCAATGAATCTGAAATTATTTGAAGGAATTGCATCTGAATGCCCTTTACACCCTTCAGTTACACCCCGAACTCCGGTTCCACGTCAGGCACGTTCGTCACCATCGTATGTTGCTGTGAAAATCCATGAGCCTTTGAATTTTGAAAAATCTTATAGCATCCACGCACGAGGCCAGAGACAGTCAGAAATGGGAAAGGACCATTGAAATTCCATCACTTGTAACGCTGGCGAACCTTCCAAATCTCGAATCCTATACCTTTGTTTTCGAACAAGGAGTGACCCTTCCCGCTAAGTACTTTGCAGCATGTACACAGGTACTTGGACGATGCGGGACCCTCAACTGCCTTGACCTAGGGTTCCATGTAGAACCTCTGCACGTCCTAGGCCTTATTCCTTTGGCTGGGCGTCTGTCTTCTCTAAGCATCGCTTCTATAGATGGAGATGACGTGATTGTCTCGCTTTCTCCTGTATTGAATGGCCTTAAATCTTTCAGTTTATGGGTGGGTATATCGGTCATGAGGCT